GCTGCTGCTCTGGTCATCACTCTCACCCCACGCTGAAGAGCCCAGCCCAGGAGACAGGATCTGGGTGAGTTGCTGCTTCCTGGCTGAGGGAAGGCAGAGGAGGAGGTGGGGTCTCTGTGCCCGAATGGATGGTGGACCTCCCCCCCTCACCCTGGTGGCCCTTCTTCCTTTGTTCCCTGCCGCCCGCCTGCTTCGGAGGTGCTCGGCTGAAGCCCTCTTTCTCTCTGCCTGGGCGCCTTCTTATTTAGCCTGGGCCGGGGGGGGCATTGGTGGCAGTGGCGGCTGCTGTCCCTGTCCAGGCTGAGGCCTGTGGCGTTGGCGAGGCCTGAGGAAGGGGGAGGGGGAGGGAGCAGCAAGGGGGCTGGCGGGGAGTTGTGGCCAGCGATGCAGCGGTGGTGCTTGGGCCCTCCTCCCGCTATGGGGACTGTGGCTGCGGGGGCTCCCGACTCCAGCTCTTTCTTCTTCCTCTCCCTGCCCCCCGTGGCAGTTCATATTTTTTTCCAAAATATAGTCCACCCCCCCAAGGGACAGTGAAATGGCCCCTGCTGAAAAAGTTTGAGGATCCCTTCCCTATATTATTTTAAAGGCATCATGATTGCCAAAGTGATTTGGTTATTTTTTTCATTAAATAAGCTGCTGCTAATCCCATGTGTCATTGTAATGGATTGCTTTGAATTGATTTCTGCACCAGGTAAAGTAATTTTTAGCTCCCCCAATTCCCCTTTGACCTGTCCCATATTTTGCCCAACCAAAGGTGGGAACATTATGCAGTCCCATTCCCCTCTTATTCTCCTCTTGACACTCAAACAGCATCCTGTGGCAGCTAACAATACTCACATTGGGCTATCTTAAGAGTTTCCTGCCTTACGGTCCCTAACCTGAGTTGATCCACCAAAATCAATGAACTGTAGCCTATTGATTTCAGAGGGTCTACTCTGAGTATGATAGATGGATATAACCCTATTTACTGGACTGAAAGTTGATACTCTAGCATTTTCTTTTTCTGAACAGAAAATATACCGTATTTTTCGCCCCATAGGACGCACCGTTTCCCCTCCAAAAATGAAGGGGAAATGTGTGTGTGTCCTATGGGGCGAATGCAGGCTTTCGCTGAAGCCTGGAGAGCGAGAGGCATCGGTGCGTACCGACCCCCTCTCACTCTCCAGGCTTCAGGAAGCTATCCGCAAGCCTTGCAAGCCCGGAGGGAGGTCCTGCCGGGCGCGCGAGGCTTGGGGCGGCAGCCTGCCGCCCGAAGCACGGGGAGCCCTCTGGAGGGCGCCCCGTGCTTTGGGCGGGTGTCCGCAAGGCTTGGGGCGGCAGCCGCGGCTGGGGGTGAAATATATATTTTTTTATTCATTCCCCCCCCCAAAATGAGGTGCGTCCTATGGGCCGGTGCGCCCTATAGGACGAAAAATACGGTACATGCAATTTTGATGTCACCAGAAGACTCCCTACCACAATCTGCACATTATATTTTTACTCCTAATTCTGACTTTTACTAAATAAACTGATTTGACATGACATTAACTGCACAAACATCATGCTATGTCAGGCTATGTCGAAGCTTAGGTTGCTGTAAGTCCCCCAAAAGTGGGGACTTGTCCAGATTTGGAATTTCAGGCTTGGTCACATGACCTGGTAACCCACCATAGAACATTATTTTAATGGTTTGTTTTCCCTCTGTCTTAGGAAGAGCAGTATCAGCCCTGCTACAAAACTGGCTTTGGATCTGGTGGAAGGTTATGTCAGTTTAATTTACACTGGCATGTTTTATGTCAGCTTTTTGTGCACAGGATTGCTTCCATAACATCTCATGTTTCCATGAGTGTTGCATAGTGTTTAAGGAAGTTCTTCTTGGTGATGAGGGAAGAATGGCCAGTGGGTGAGAGATTATTTGCCCTTTGAAAGTAGATGTAATGTCTTCCTCCATGTGAGTTTCAAAAGTGTGGATTACAGGGAAGAAACAGCAGCAAGAGTCAGTGTCTTTTGTTCTCAAGCTGGTGGACAAAGACAATCAGGAGCCTACACATGAGTATTTCATTCACCTTCATGTGTTCCTTTGCTCATCTGCACTGCAACTTCCAAGCAGCAGTGCAAGAATGTACATGTCCCTCCAAAAATAACACAAGCCAATTTTGAATTTTAAAGAAAATGGATCAACATTTCTTTCAAGCATTAAACAGATGATTTGACAATTGCTGACCCAAGAGACATTCAACCATAATTAATTAGCAAGTTATAATGTTTCTCCCTGTACTGTGAAAAGCTTCACTTTTTGATAAAGTTTCTGTAAAAAGCAAAAGAGAGTGTGCATGACTGGGTTTTCTTTCTGGTCCATTGACAACCCTAACACTTACCCAAAATAAAATATAACTGATTTCAATGGTATGTACTAGTGATTAAGTATACACTTCCCTCTTACTGATCATGTCTGATGATATAACAACAAGATTTGAGTAAAGCATTAAATAGATCCAGGATGAACCTTCTTCTGTACAGTCAAAGTCTCCAAAATAAATGGCTGTCATTGTAGCCCAGTTTCCACATTACAGTCTAATTCTGAATTGGGTCTCTCGATTCATTGATGAGAAATCTGTGGCCCTCTATATTTTTGCTAATTACATCCCTCATCATTCATGACCACTGGCCATTCTGGATGGGGTGATGGGAGTTATAGGTCAACAACATCTGGAGGCTCACAGGTTCTCCATCCCTTATTAGGTAGCTAATACACACCTAAAGTCATAAGAGTTTACCACTGTGGTAAATATAAGTCAGCTACAGCAGCTACAGATATTTTTTCTGACACTGGGCACTGTGAAAGGAGAAACCATATCTGCTAAATTATGCCATTGGAACACACAAGTCCTGTGCAGGCTAGAAGAACACAATTGCCATGGACTGGTTGGATGCAGAGAAATAGTGGGAGGAACCAGCTGGGGAACCACCAAGAGAAGAATGCTCAGAGCCAGGAAAGTGGTGGTGGGATGACAATGAATGGTCAGAGGGAGAAGACTGAGAAGACATTAGAAACTGAAAGGTTTAGTGAGCTTGGAAAGTCTGTGGCAGAGAGAAGTCAAGAATCAGAAGCTGAAACTGGAAAGTGCGAGAAGGGAGGTTAAGAGGCAGGTATGTTTCAAGCTGGTGAAGAGTCACAGGTGTCTTCCCCTCCTGCTGTTACAAGCTGCCCTCCACCCTGTCTCCTAGAACCAGAAGAGGCATGAAAAGGGAGGAGGAGAGATTGGCTGCACACAGGCACAGTCTCTGATTGCTTTGAAAAAGGCCTGGAGAGGAGGAGACAGACAGCTGTGGGGAGGCAGGGTGTTTAGTCTCGGTAGATGGCCGCTGTGTTTATTAGGCCTGACACTCAGCCAAGTTTGTGGAGATTATTTTTGGTTTTGCTAATAAAGAGTTAACTCCAACTTTGAACTGTGTGATTTATTGACTGGCCCACTCTGTGACAACAATTTTCTGTGAAATTGTGTAAATGTTGAATGTAGTATAGGGAGTTGCAGTGTCCCAAAGTTCCATCATAGTAGCATACTGACAATGGACCACTGTTTAATCCTGGCTTGTTTGTTCTTCTGCATTTCAGCATAAACTAACAAGTTTGCCTTTGTTTGGGTATAATGAGGAACTCTGGTTGGTTTAAAAGTGAAAGTCAACACTTCCAATCTCCTTACAGCCAGGCGAGAAGAACAGAAGGAAGTACATGAGCCCAAGAGTCATGCTAGCCTATGTACACAATCAAATTAGATTTATTTCTATGATCATAGATCTATTGTACAATGCAACTAGATTAACAGACCCCCCCAAATAGCATGGAATGTTCCATACAGCATGAAGCATAGTTTAACATTATTTCCAAAAAAGGAACCTAAGTGTCTGCAGAAATATCCTTATTAGTGTGGTCATAGAAACATGAGAAAATTATCTGAAATGTACTTTACCTATATATGGTGGTGTTTTTTTAGAGCTACGGGATTATTTATTGCCATACAAGGCATAAATTGTGGCAAATCGCTTGGAAGACTGTTTGCACATTAAAAGGTGGCACAGTATTTGCCCTATTGAAGAAGACGTTCTGAGTTTTGACACCCGTCAGGAAACTTAGAGGAAAAACCAAATGAAATATTTGGTTCTTCTTTGCAGTTTGACATTTTTGACTGACAGAGCTTGACATGTGGATTACCTGACTTTGCAGTTTGAAAGCAAGATGCATAAAGCATCAGACCTTGTTGGTCACTCGGACAGTTTTATGGGTTTTTTTAATGTACTTTTTAAAAATTCAGTAGTTCCATCGTTTTTGCCTGCATATGATGTCCTTTTTCAGGATTTAACAGGTATGCTTCCTTTTTAACAAATGTTTAGGGTATTTTAAAACATTTTTTATTCTGCTTGGTCCTGTTTAATAATCCCTTTGCTGTTCCTGTCAGTGAACTGCTTCCTGAATTGCAAATAGAACTCTGCAAATTTCATTCTGAACTGGGGATGCAGGAAGTCTGAAAGGGAGCCTAAAAGTTTGAAAATGACTTTCTGAGTTACATTTTCTTATCCTGTAAATGTAATTGTTCCAAGAATGATCCATGCTTGCAACTTGCATGGTTGAGAAGGAGGTGGGGGGACACACACCTTATTAAACATGAGATTGTTTGGTTTAAAGGCACCCCACTCTACACAATACATATTCTGTGTTAGATACTGTGCCATTCACACAGAGCCCCCGGTCATTTCACAGACTATTGACCTGTACACCACTACTTTATTCTTCCGCTGCCACCAATTTTGTGGAAAAGAACGAGGGCTCCCCGGTGAAGTATTGAGTCTCAGCCAGGTAGAGTTAACAATGAAGATTAAAGTTTATTTCAAACACAAACAAGTTTTAAAATATATTCAAAACGCTGTCACTCTATTCCCTCTCAGTCTTGTCCCTGTCTCTAACTCACTCTGACTCCTCTATCTCCCCTCCCCCAAAAAAGAACCAACCGAACTGTCAAAACCTCTGGGCTGAGCCTCAAAATCAGGTAGGCTCCGCCTCTGGGCTTTCTTATTGGTCAACCTATTAACCCTTTCTCTCCCCAATACAAACGTATCCCCAAAGAATGGGCAAACACCACAGATAGATACGCTGAAATTGATGTATGCCTTTTCTTTCAGTTGAAAGTACAACCTAATTAAATCGAAGTTATATGTGTGGACTGGGCTTAGGAAATAATGCTGCTTGTTGAACACATAGCACACTAGAGAGAATCTATACTTGCCTAACTACCAGTTATGGAAGTTCAGCACTGAAAATCAAAGCAGTTTTTATTTGGGCGGGTTTACACATTATGTCTGTAGCAGTGCCCTAAAACTGGTCTCTGCCAGTGCACGGGACCAAGTTCACATGCTCTTTAATTTTACAGTTAGCATGTCATGTGATGATACAAGGTATGAAATATTTAAACTATACAAACTCTTTATACTTATACACACTCTAGATGTTGTTCACCAATAACAGCACTCTACCTTGACTATTCTCGTCTCCTTGTGGGGAAAATGGCATCCTGGTACTTGAGAAAGTGTCCGGATCAAAGCTTGTTTCCTGCTTCTTAATATTCCCTGTGCTTGCACCTCAAGCTGGTTGCTTGAGTAGGCAGCTCCCTGGAGTTCACAGCAGGTGCGAAATGCAAGGTTACACAGCAAAGACCACTTGGCCTTCATTTTATTGCAGATTGTTCCTAGAATGTTTGCCTTTGTTCTGTTGTTTGCTTTTGGTTAAGAGCTGAGCCCTTGTGGTTCACCCAGATATGCCCTAGAGTCTGCTGTCCTTCCAATTTATCACCTGACAGCAATGATTGTACAATGTAATTAAAAGTCAATGCTAGCTTTTTGGATATATGCTATAATGAAAGAACCATCTGAAATTAGGACTTAAATAATGAAGGGTTCAGGGACATGCAGGCTGGTATTTGTTATGCATTTTAATAGAGGAACTTTGCAGCTAATTGGAGGCTAACTAAACCCCTTGGACACATTTCAAGTCACGTCAGTGTTTTTCTCTCCCTAAGGAATCTGATAGGCTATGCGGCTTAGAACTGCCTTTTTCTATCTTAATTACCACATTGAGTTGTTCTAATGTTGGTTTACTTTAGAAGCATGCATGATGATTATAAGCAAGCAAGAGTTTCTACAAGCAACCAGAATCTAATTTAAAATTTAACACCTCCCTATCCACAAAAAGTGACAGTACAGAGACAGAGGAAAGTGGATCTATTTAACAGCAAAAACGACATCCATGACCTATGCACATGTATGATATTCACACTAGAGAACACTAATGAATGTGACCCACCTTCATCTGTAAACATCCCTCTCGGGCTGACAACAGTTGTAGTACAGCACGGGGCAATGTTATGTCTACTCATGTATGTTGTTGTACATCCATAAGAACATAAGAGTACCCTTCCCAAGAGCTTATATCACTAAAAGGGTGAACTTTTATTGCTCAAAAGCCTACAGCTAAAACTTTTCAATGTATGTTAGCATTCTCGTTTGGATCTTCTGAAGAAAACCGTTTGAAGACCCAACGTATTTGCTGCAGCAGCACCATCTATGAATGAGTTGTCTGTCAATGCCCAGAATGCAAGATAAAGGGCTATTTGGAGATTAAAACAAAACAAAACAAAACAATAAGCTACTTTATTGTTCATTTAGCATTCTACCACCCCTCCATATTGGGAATAAACATCTCCTGATAGTAAGAGGTATGCTGCCTCTGATCCCAGAGACAATGGCTTTAATCCTGGCCATGAAATATCCTTGCAGTTCCTCCAGAAGTTGCCCATTTGTGTAATTTGGTCAGCTTTTAGAGAAAGCTAATTATTTATAATAACCTGCTCTTTATGACCGCAGTGCATGTTATACAGTGGTACTTTGGGTTACAAACACTTAGGGTTACAGACTCCGCTAACCCAGAAGTAGTACCTCAGGTTAAGAACTTTACTTCATGATGAGAACAGAAATTGTGCGGTGGCGGCATGGCGGCAGCGGGAGACACCATTAGCTAAAGTGGCACCTCAGGTTAAGAACGGTTTCAGGTTAACAACGGACCTCCGGAATGAATTAAATACTTAACCTGAGGTACCACTATAGTTGTTAAAATATATAAAACAATTTCAACAGAATGAGTAGGTAAAAACATAACTTATCCATAATACCCCCATGGAACCACTCATGACAGCTCATTGCAGAGGAAAGCTAATACTCATCTCCTATAAAAGCCGCACAAAATCTCCCTCAAAAAGTAGGTTTTTACCCAAAGTCAAAATGCTAGGAGCATCAGCATTAGTGCCACCACAGAAAAGGCTCTATCTCTTGTCACCGCATAATGCACTTGCACCAAAGGCAAGACCATGGGAAGAGACACATCCCCAGAGCTAAGAATCTGGGCAGACTGATATAGAAAGAATTGTTTCCTTCAGATACTTTGGGGACTCAAGTCACATAGGTAATGAAATTTATTTTAGGATTGGAATTAGGTGTTCCCTACGAACACCCCCCCCCATACTCTGTCAGCCACATTCTGTATGAATTGTAGTTTTCAGAGATTTTTCAAATGAAGTCCCATGTAAAACAGACTCAAAAAGCTGGTGGTCTTAGTTATTTGAGATAACGTACCGTAATTTGAGGACTTTCTTTCAAAACCAGGAGATTATTTGAAGCTAGTGTAGCTCTTAGAGAAATCTTAATTTCTTGTAGAAATCTTAACGGAATATGAAAAATTGTGCTGGGTTTATTTCAGTGCAAAATTGAATCCGGTGACATTTAAAGGGAAATCTGAAGTGAAGCCTATGGGAATCTGATCATCATGTGAGTGTAGCCAATATCTAGGAGAGCTTGTAGAACAGTTTCTCTATCGACTCTATCTCTTCTGATCACAGAGTTTGTACAAGAAATTAAATCACATTTCAAATCCATCAGTAATGATTATCTAGAAGTACCCCATGGTTGATACTTTAGCTGATGGGGGAATTTCATCAATATCAGACGTTCTCTAGAGCCCACAAGTGAAGTTGACCTATTACTTGAACATATGCTCAACCATTTGTTATTTTCAGTTTCCAAGCATGCTATTATATTTTAGCTTCTCCCCCCCCCTTAATGAACAGTAAAATCCTGCCACATTTTATTTTACAATCATGCCTATTCTTTTCTTAGGCTTATATGCTGAATAGCCTATGTTGTTGCTCAACAAAGTACAGGAAGGAACTGTTTCTAACACTGCACCTGGGAGTGGAGATTCTATTTTGCAATTCTCCAATTTATATCTACATCAATAACAAAGTAATTGAAGTCCCTCCATGATCAATGCTCTCTTCTCAGAACTGGCCTTCCTTATCTATATAAACATTTCCTTGCAGTGCCTTCTCATTATTTCTCAGAGGTTGGAAGTAGGGTGTTTTCCCCCCTTTCCTCCTCTTGTATTTTTCCAGTTCAGCTCAGAATTTTCTGACATGATAAGCCAAGTACTACTTTTACATAGGTTCTTTCAGAAGCAGGAGCTACATTGTTGTTTCATTTCTCTCCTGCTCAGCTTTAAACTCAAATTCATTGTCACTTTCAATATGATAGTCTGATAATTCTACAATATTTTATTCTCTCATTACTTCCATTTCATTACTGTACTTCCCCTTTCCCTACTCTTCTTCAGATCTTTTAAACTTGTTCATTAGTTTATTCATGTTTTGTTTAACAGAAAACAACCTAGTATTGACTTTATCCTCACAGTGTATTCTCTAGCTGGGACACAAGCAATGTTCAGCTAAGATGAATTGATTTTTTAAATATTCTGTTTAAAGCCGTCCAGAGTGGCTGGGACAACCCTGTCAGATGGGCAGGGCATAGGAAATAAATTGTTGCTGCTTTTATTGTTGACAAAACTGCAGTTCCTATTTAAGGGTCAGTTTGAGGATGACTGCTGAATTCATGGAGTCTCAAGACTGATCCATGCATGGAGCTTTTCCATTGAAGCCAGACTTTACCTCTGAGCAGATGTTCAGTGGCAATGTTCAGTGGCAGATAGAGTCTGCATGTACATAACAGGGATGGGCTTGAAATTGTGTCCCAATAATCTCAGTCTTATTTGTGAATGCTGACATTAGGGGCAGGAATTTGTCAACTATCAAAACTAGATACACAGTTGTGCCCCAAGTTCATGGGTGGCAAAATTGAGGAGGTCATTTTGATGATTATTTTCCAGGTGAGGACCAACATCATTCTCCAACAGTTGAAGAAGAGTTTAAAAAAGAAAAATTGTCACGAATGTGTCAGATATTCTTTTCCTGGGAAATTTTGATTCAGCCTTAACATAGGTAGATATATACTTGGATTGCTGAGTAACTAGATACCACACATGTAGATATTGAGAATCCACTATGTTTCTGCTTTGCTAAGCTGTCTTGGTACATAAAGCAAAATAGCAAAGGTGAAGGATTTTCTTTGCATTTAACAACTGCAATTATTATTAATAATAATTAATTTATTTTAAAAAATATTTAATATACTTCACTTATGTTTATTAGGTGAGCCTCGTTTTGGTTTATTTTTCACAATAGCCAAATTAAGACAAATAAACTTTAACCTATTGTGATGGTGCCCCCATGTTTCTGAGATATAAGCACTATTTAATCTATATTTGATAATAATCAATTAAAGGACTGGGCTTAGGCTGCCTTAAAATTAAAACAAAAAGAGGATTTAAAGCATGGTATTGTATTAAATGCATTCATATTGGACTTTTAGGGACTCTACCATCAATCTTTTTGTTCCAACTATTCCCAGAGAGTTATACAGTATGAAATCAGTAAACAGATACAGCAATGCTTATCAAACCCAGTTCAATCTCACACTGTCATGCTGAGCTTTATAACAACAGTGAATCCAATATGTTCATGAGAACTGGTCATGGGAATTTATATGCAAGGAGTAACATCTCAAAAATCCATTAAATGCCTGAAGAGTGATGAAAAATCAAAAGGAAGGCATCAAAGCCACGCAAAATACAGTGTAGATATGTTTACTGTCAGAAACCAAGCTGTACATTTTTCACCACACAATAAATTATTACACCCTGTATAAGGAAATTCTGAATACTGGCATTGAAAGAGTCCTTAACAGAACAGTTCGAGATTTCCATTTAAGCCACACAAAGTCCACATTTTTAATGAAAAAGATGAAAAGCAATAGATCATTATACAACATCCTACTAAATACCATTGCATGGTTTTCCAGGAACGATGATAAATTATAGTGCACATGAGTGTTTGTGGAATGACCGCTTACCTGGTATGGAGGTGGGCGGTGGTTGCAGCCTGGCACAACAGCCCCTCACACATCCAGGGGGTGGAATAATTTAGTCTTGGTGGCCAGCCATTGTAATACCTCCCTGGGTGGCAGACCAGAGTGGAGAAGTCTTCACTCTGGTCTGCCTCCTGGAGATAAAGACCAACTGCGCCCAAGCATGGCATCGCATCATCACAGCCTCAAACAGGTATGATCAAAGAGTTAGAGGAGTCTAAACTGAAGTCTCTGTCCAGAAGCCAAGCATGGGGCAGATGGGCCATAGAGCTTCCCTCAGCAGCCTAGTAGACCTTGGTAGACCCACATCTTGAATGGCCCTCCATCTCAGGCATGACTGTGCTAAAGCATCAGCCCTCCATCTGGAGGCTGATAAAGGATATACACCCAATGCCTGAGCCAAAGCCTACCTACATCTGTAATCAATAAAAGTTGTGGTCAATTTTAAACCTCAGAACAATGTCCTGTCTGCTTAGTTTACACCTGTTGTTGCCTGGGTTTCACCCTTTGGGAGGGGACTCTGTGGGTGGCTCCACAATGGCCTTCAAGACTGGAAAATGCAAAAACAGATCCTCAGTTTGCTTTCCTTTCTATATCTACTCCCACGAATATTTATTTTAACCCTTTAAACTTCACCATTCCTCAAAAGACCCAAGGCAATGAACAACATAAGCTGATATGGAAAGCTCACATCATTTAAAGCAAACTAATCATAGTCTGACAGCCACAAAGAACTAAAGTGCCAGAGATTTTTTTCTAAAAGAAAGAAATGCAGACAAAGCATTTTTACCAGAGCAATTACATCCACTTCAAAAAGGAACAACTATTTATGCATCAAAAGCCTTCCTATAAAGGACAGTTTGGGCCATTCAGAGAAAGGCAGTGAGAGAGGAGGAGCCTTTGTCAGAAATATGTTTACTTGGTCCATCCAAGTAAAATATGTTCTCCTTGGTCCCAACTGTCTGGAAATGCTGGAACACACAGAAGGGCATCTGATGATGATGTAAATAAGCAGACAGGTTCATATGGGACAAGGCAGTCTTCCAGTTATCTAGGCTACAAACTATAAAAAACATTTATTTCCTACCCATTTCATTACATCAAAACATTGCAAGAAAGAGAAACAAAGGAAAAACAAGAAACTCTTACATATACTGTACATGCAACAGAAGCACCCAAAAATATCTTTACAATAATGGGGAAAGCTTATCAATCAGCCTGTTGCTTTTGTTTATCAGTCCAATAGTTTAAAAGGTTTCAAATCTCCTTCAAAGGTGTTGACTCTGCAAGATTTGTTGTTGTCAGATTTGTCCTGTAAAGTTACCATGTATAGTTAAATCTCACACTTGCAGATACCATTCTCTAAATCTGAGAATCTGCCATATGAATGAGGATGGGGACTTCTAATATTTAGTAGATAAAATTGGGTTGCCACAATCAGGTGGAAGAGTGAGACTTCTCTTTGGAAACATTTCCTTTTAAAAATGCTAATAGGATCGTTTTGGAATTCATTGTTAACCTTTCTCTCAGAATATCCTTAAGTATAAGTTGCCAATATTTCTTAGCCTTCACACAAAACTACTAACAGTGGAGAAAATCACCTTTTACTTACTTTCAACAGTTATTTGAATCCCCTTATTAAGAGCTTTAAAGGTCATCACAGGCACATTAAATTGGGCCTGGGAAGATATTGGAAGCCAGCATAACTTTTTCAATAAGGATTTCCCTATATGCAGTGGCGTAGCGTGGGGGGTGCAGGGGGGGGGCCGGCCGCACCGGGCGCAACATCTGGGGGGGGGCGCTTGCACTCGCAGCTCTCTGCCCCTACTAAAATCCATGGGTTAGGGGGCGCAAATTACTTGCCTTGCCCCGGGTGCTGACAACCCACGCTACGCCACTGCCTATATGTGACCTCTATTAGCAGCCTGGCCACAGTATTCTGGATGCATTGTGGTTTCTGAGCACTCTTCAAAGGCAGTTCTATGTAGAGCACATTGCAGTAATGCAGTTGTATGTGCCAACCTGGCCAGGTCTGCAGTCTCCAGGAATGGGAGTAGTTGGTACACCATTCAAAGCTGGCTAAAGGCACTCCTGAACACAGCAAAGAAGTGAACACCCATGGTCAAAGCCAGGAAACCCCAACATGTGCACCCATCACTGAGTCAACCCCTATTTCTGGGTCAACTCTATTGACCAGAAGCATCTTTGTCTTGTCTGGATTAAGCTTCAATTTTATTTTTATTTTTGCCCCCACACAGTCCATTACTGCTTCAAGACAGCAGTTTAGGACCTCTACAACCTCTCTGGAATGGGATGGAAAAAGAGATAGGGTTGGGTGTCTTCTACATACCTATGGCAGTGATCTCCAATTCCCTGGATGACATCTCCAAGTGGTTTCATGTAGATATTATGAAAGGCAAGATGGAAACTGTGGAACACCATTGATCAAAGGCCAAGGTGTCAAACAAAAGTTCTCTTTTCTATCATGCATGAAATACAAAACCTTTCTAAATATCTTAGTGCATGGTTAGTGCTGAACTTGTGGCCTACCAATTACAGAACAGGGCACAGTTAGCCTAATGGGTTAGATTCCTTGTGGAATTATATGAATTTCCCATATTTTGAATTATAATAATAATAATAACTTCTGTCTTAATGAAATTTTATGTAATGAGACATGCTAATTAGTCAATACTCCGGATAATACAGACAGGTTGTTTTTTTCAGGTAGGTGAACTATTAGCTGTAGAGTCAGAAAACTGTAGAGTCAGAGTAGTCATAGCTATCTAATGTGAGTAACATTATTTCAGCATGGAAATTTCAGCATGGAGGATACTGAAAGTACAACATGGATGAGAGCAGGGTACTAAGTGGGACACTGATGTGCTTAGCCTAGATCAATGAGAGCTAACAAATCCTGGACAGGAGACACAGTGCTTAATCCTTGCAACGTTAGTTGACAAAGCAAATGCGGCAGTATGGACAGCTGTGTGGAGCAAGCAAGCTTTACAGCTCTGCATAATATAGTTCAAGGATTTTGTACAGTATATCTTAAAAAAATATATGTGACAGGACCAGCATTGAACCTTGAGAATAGGGAGCAGGCCTGTGAAGTATATCAGCATGAATATTAGCCCATTCTCTCAGCTAGTGACAGTTTTCCTAATGACTCCTTAGTCTGTGACATTAAACGGGTTACTAACATTCAGCAGAAGTAGCCCAATGGCTTCTTTATGTTATTCTATGCAAAGGCTGAATTTTTCATTAATCTAAACTGATGTATCTAATGATTTACTCCAGGAGAACAAAGATATGGAAAAGATTTTTTCCCCTTAAGGGTCAAACAGGAAGAGTTTTACTCAGACAAAATGCCCTATGGAAATTAAACACTACTCACACAAACTGAATCAGATGCCCCTCTTGGGTCTAGTATCTTTAAGATAATTCACTACCATTCAGGGAGGAAGTTTTTTAATTACAGCTGAATAGATATAGCCCTTTCTGTCTGCAAACATGTTTTATGTTGTGCCAATGAATTATTTTGGCCTCTTGAGAAATGTCTTTGTTTTAGTCTAACTTGCAAAGACTTGTTTAATCAAGATAATAAAGTAAGATCCCCATACAGAAGTAGTCTTGCACATGCATAAGCAAGTTCAAATGCAATATGGAAGTATCTCCACATCTCCATCACAATACTTTCTAGAAGTTCCACTTTAACTTGCTGGATGCATGCTGTGATGCACTTAGAGAGGCCTATTCCCATAGACTTGAAGCAATGTCCAAACTTAATACTTGAGCACGACATCCTTGCAGCTCTGTGCTACAGACTGTTCTTGTAATTATAGCTTGACATTTTATTTTTTTCATTTTTACTGGGCTTTCATTTTGGAAAAGCTGTAATTGAAAAATGAGTAAACAAAGAAGCAAGTCTATTAATAAAAATGGTTTTGGACAACAGCTCTGAATACTTATAACTGTTCCAGACGTCTCTATTTGATCGACTTGATCTTGCGTTGCCATGAGTGATGAGCAAGATAATAAAAACACAACTTTTCTTCAAAGTTATGGCAACACTTTCAGAGTCAGCCATTTGTGCTTGCCAGTGAATATCAAGGGCACCCTTTATGATTCCTGGATTGCCTAATTTATTGTTTATAACATGCCGTTGTTCATTATATCCTGATATATTAGGTTTATCTCCTTCAATCCTCTTTTTTATTATTTCCTCTGCAAGTCAAAATGACTTCTACCTGCAAAAGGATGCTGTGCCATTTTGCCACTCTAAAAAAAAGGGGAGGGGGAGGAAGGAAGGAAAAAGCAAAAGAAAAGCACCAAGAGACTAGGCATTAGAGACAAAACTCAAATAGATCTGAAAAACTACCTCTTATGAGGCAGCTAATCTGGGCCCAAAGGGAGGTCCAGCTGTCATTGATGTCTTCAGTTATCTTTGTGAGACAAAGTATTAATCCATTTACAAATCCCAACTTTTCTGTTGTCAGGTTTTCCTTCAAATGTGAGGGTAAATAGCAAGAGAAAGGACAGCAAACAGTAATGAAGTGTAAGCCAGCTTTACCTAATACAGATCCCTGATGGTAAACAAATACACATTGGTCTGTCACTTCAAGACCAGAAGGCGCTGTTTGCTTAGCATTTAACTGAATTGAAAGAACTGTTGTCTTATTCCAGGAAGCAATCCAAACATTTTTAGCTTCCAAATTGAGTCTGAGTGGAAGAGGGACTAAATTTGGCATGGTGTCCTTGTAATAGTGCTGTATAACTCGAGGTTCTCGGTAGGGTGTGAATTAATAGTATAATATCTTCCCTTTGAGGAGAAAAATAGAATTTCATTTTCATTACCCTAACCTTTTGTTTAGTCACAGTGTATATAGATTTCATTTGTGTGTGAGTGTTTTTCAAAACCACTACCCAAATTATTAGACACAGTATAATGTGAAAGATGCTTGCTGTTTCAAAAGGGACTTTGTTATTCCTGGAATTCAACAGTGAAGCCAAGTTTAAATGTTACTTTGGTTTTGGAGTTGCCACCAAAATATCCTGCTGTGCCAGGGATTCACATAGCTACCAGAATGTTATGATTGCTATCTATGTAGCTCCATTGCATTACAGACACATAGGAATACGGGGATCTACATATTAAGGAGGAAATCCTATGGCAAGATCCGTCAAGATGAGCAGCTTAGAATGTATTGGATCTCTGGCTCAGCCGGCAGATTCCTGGCTTAGTTGGGCTCAGTCAATGCAAAGTTCTCAACCCCTGGCTAAGCTGGAGATATGCCAGAATTTTGTTTTGACATTTAGGATTCACTGCATTGTATTCTCCCATTCCTTCACTTTTAACTGTATTTTGCCCTTGCATCGGTGGCAGCAGCACTGGTAAATTCTCCACCATCTCCTGCCTTCCTGAGTCTTACTCTGAGAAATAGGCCAAGGATGGGTTCCTTTCTCACAGCTAGGTATTCTGGGTGAGGTGTGTGCCATTGCTGTACCTTGCTGCTGCACAGCTAGAAAATTTGCTCAAACATATACCGGTTCATATACATATTGTCATGTACTGAAGTTCTCACCCTGGGCCAGCAGGGGGATACTGTAGATAGTTCAGGTCCACATATGCAAATAAGGGATTGAAAGTGACGTTCAGTGATTGGATAGTTACAGAAAGTTGTTACAGTTACGTTGTACTGCAGCTCTATATAAGCAGGCTGGCTGAACCCTTCAGTTCAGTTCTCTTCTGGCCTGTGAATAAACAAGAGCTGTTTGAAGAATCGCTGTGTTGTCTGATATGTTCACCCACAACTTAACACATATACAAATACATATACATATACATATGTTTTTAAAGCTGCTGTGGGTGGCATTCAACTCAGTTTCACTCCGTGTAGATCCAATGAAATCAATGGACCTAAGTCATGTGCATTACTTACAACGGGCAACTTCCAATTTGTTTCTAAAGTTAAGCAGCCATCCTAGCCATGGCAGGAACGACAGCAGCACTCTCCAGGCCACCTCACCCAGAATCCCTCACTCTAAGAAAGGATCCCCTTGCCTTCTTTCTCGAAGTGAGGCTCAGGCAAGGGGAAGAGGTAGAAGGGGTGACAGGAAACCTTGCCTTGTGCTATATTGCCAGGATGTGAGGGGACCCTGGAGGGGCATCAGTTTGCAGGACCTCAGACAGTTGTCTCATTCTGCCTCATCGATGGGCTGGCCTGAAGACTCAGATCTGTCAACTCATGTTGAAATTGGGCCAGAACCCAATGCTAGCTTAGCTGTAAACAGCTCCCTTCAGGAGATCAAGGTGACTTGCATATGCAAAGTTCAAAAGTAATTTCAAAATGTTTACCATATTTCATTTCAACAGTAATTTGAGAAGGAAAATCCAAGGTTGGCTTTACATAAGAGCCAGCCCTGCCTGAAAGTTTCACCCCAAAGTGATTTTATTCCTCAACCAAGGCTATTTGTCAAAAGCTGGAAAAGATTTTCCACTGAGAAGCAATTGCAATCTCTGTTCTTTAACAGTCTAATGTTATATATGCTGTGTGGATGACTAATAAGTGCAGGTGTATATAACTTGCTACTATAATGATGTAATATTTCTCTTGCAGTGTACCTGTATTTATCTCCACACACATATTCTATTTTCCTTTCATTGAAACTTAGGGAAGCATAAAAAATGAATAATGATTTGAGTTAATGCCAGCAGAAGAAGTGTCTTCTTTAATTGCAGATATTTTAAGATGATACAATTCTGCCTAAGTAGCTGACTTTTTAATTCTTTTTCAGCTGTTATTTTAAAAAGTGATTCACAGTGTGGTAATTACAATGTTAATCAATCTGAAAATGAATACGGGGAAAAGCAGTAAATTTCCATCACTGTTCTATTTAGGTGAGGTAAGTGAATGCGGAGGTATTTATGTAAACTTGAAAACTGTTTCCTGTTGAAACTTGAGTAATAAATATAAGCAATGTAGATGTGCACTTTCCCCATATTACTGTCATTACTCCGTCTGTATCCAGGGCTGATTGACATTAGGCTAGTACAAGCCCACAGATGTTTTAATTGAAATATTTTTTAATATAGTTACCTTTTGGGTAGTAAAACAAAATTCCACACCCTTCTGGCATTTAAATGTCTGCATTTAAGCCTATAAAAGTAGCTTGCAAAATGTAGTAAATACCTTCCTTCTATCCACATAAGGTGATTCCCTCCCCCTGCCCACAACACAGAGACATGGCAAATTTAAGGGGTCAGTTTCCACATTATGCATAAAACTTACATTTCAGTGAGTCATTTAGTGTTGTTTATTTGTGCAGCCCTATAGGTGCCCACTTGACTGCTTTGACCTGTGGCACTGGGGCTGTTACAAATGCCACATAATACTTGTTCTACAGTTGTAATAAATCATTTTTTATTTTTTGTGTGTGTGCTGGCACCTAGACTTTGAAACTCCCTCAGGCAAGCACTTTCACTGTTGTCATTATGGTGCCTGCTTCAAACGTTTTTGTTTAGGCAAGTCTATCTAGATACATAGATGTTGATGTTTTTAAATCTCTTTTCCTGTAGATTTCAATTATTCAAAGAAGTTTTTTAACTGTTTTCATTGTGTTTTAATGTCTCTTAGAAACAGCTTATAGGTTGTTTATAATCACGTGATATACTGTATAACTCTTGTTAGATAAATAAAATAATAATAATCCTATACACCGGAGTAGGGAACCAGTGGGTAGTTTTAAGATGCTGTTGGACTTTCCGCCTCAGCCAGCATTATGAAAGGTCAGGGGTGATGGGAGTTGCAGTTCAGCAAATGCTAGAGGGCCACATGTTTCTTATCACTGCAATACACACTCACCTGATGGGGCTCAAAGAGTAGAATTGTTTAGGATTGCACTGCTAAGCATCAATATGTCAAGCAGGAAATGCAACATGTGATTTTGTTTTCAAGGTGGTGCATAAACCCTGCTGCAACAGGCTGCAAAAAAAAATGTAGTCCTCCAGGTCTCTCTATTTAGTCACTGGGACTCTTTCCAGAGCACCTCTCTTCCCTGAAGTCACACCTTTCCTGAGTGCTTTTCTGTCTGGGTGAAATGTGTTTGTGAACTGCAATACTGCCTCTTGGGTGGACTGGAGGGAAGATGGAAAGATATGTAGTCTGTATGTGTGTGTAGACTAAGGTAACACAAGAGTCTCATCCATTCTCTGGGTCCCACCTACCACTGGTATGCAGGCTCCAGGTGGCTGCCCATGAATGAGTGTGGCTGAAAATCTTCCCCACCACTGAAATGTGGAGAATCCCTATTCTCTGCCATCTCTACTCTCTGGACGCTGGTGGCACTATGGTCTAAACCACTGAGCCTCTTGCACTTGCTGATCAGAAGGTTGGCGGTTCAAATCCCCACGACGGAGTAAGCTCCCGTCGCTTTGTTGCAGCTTCTGCCAACCTAGCGGTTTGAAAGCATGCCAATGCAAGTAGATAAATAGGTACCGCTGTGGCAGGAAGGTAAACGGCATTTCCGTGTGCTCTGGTTTCCGTCACGGTGTCCCGTTGCGCCAGAAGCAGTTTAGTCATGCTGTCTGTGGACAAATGCCGGCTCCCTCGGCCTGAAAGAAAGATGAGCGCTGCAACCCCATAGTCACCTTTGACTGGGGCTCCTTTACTCTCTGGAAGTGAGGCCTCTGGACGTTTTGTGTTGCATATGTTGCCTAGGAAGTTTGTTAACTTCCTGTAAAACTGAACTGTCTTCTCCTGCTTCTTTGACAAAAAAAGTAACAGAGTAGCAAAAGAAAAATAATTACCTTGGTGTGGGAAAAATTACCTTGAAGAATGAGCAAGAAAAAGAGCAGATATTATGTGTCGATGAAGATTCAAGATCGCACTATGAAAATACGTTGTGCGTTTGATCTTCCTCTGTGAACTCAGGACCTTTATTTCTCCATGAAATCTCTTTATCAGTAAGAAAAGTGAATCAACAAGACAAGTGCAAATGAGGTGACAGTGCAGCAACAGGCTGTAAAAATATGCTGGCTGGATGTGGATGAAGCACTTTCTGAGGTTGTAGGATGCACTGTAAGGGGAAAGATGAAAAGGTCAACACATCCTTCAAGCCAGCCAGCAACAAAAATTTAAGGCTGGATTTACAGCATAAATTATTCTTTAAATAAAAATAAAAATAAAGACCTGTCAGTAAATGACACAAAATGACTCATTAAAGATGATACACACATTTCAAATAAGTGAAATAATAGTTTAGATCCCCACACATATTTTCACTGCATGTTCTCACTAGCTGAATCTTCCACAGGTCCCAGTGCAGTTGCTTAGCAAACACACTTCAGAATCTGACCCTCTAGCAATATTTAAAAACACCCCCCCCCAAAAAAATAGAGAATGAAACAGTTGCACTGTTTCCTTCTCTAGTGTAGTAGCTGTGGTATGTTCCTATTCTCTGGATGCTCACTGTTACTGAGGCCTTTTCTGCCCCCTTTCCAGGTAAAATGTATGTATATATTCTCTTGAATTTATATTACCTGTTTTTAATGTTTTTTTAATAGTTGTAACCTGCACCAGAACCTCCTGTTATAGAGCAGGAAATAATTCTAACTACAGTGGTACCTCGGGTTACAGACGCTTCAAATTACCAATGCTTCAGGTTACAGACTCTGCTAACCCAGAAATAGTACCTCGGGTTAAGAACTTTGCTTCAGGATGAGAACAGAACTCATGCGGCGGCACGGCAGCAGCAGGAGGCCCCATTAGCAAAAGTGGTACCTCAGGTTAAGAACAGTTTCAGGTTAAGGAATGACCTCTGGAACAAATTAAGTTCTTAACCAGAGGTACCACTATAGTAATTAAACAGCAACAATGGTGCTAGGTCAGTATTCAAAATTACGCATAAGAGCCTGGAACTTAATCATTTTTTTTCATTTGGTTTCCTACTTCATACTAGCAGTTTAAAAGCTAACATTTCTTTCTAAGATTTGCACTTCTGATTAAAAACTAAAGGCTGAATTTCTGGTGGCTGATGATTTTTCCTTAAACCCACTATAAGCTGAAGTGGTACAGTCTGAAGCAAGCACCTCTAAGTTCAATGGATCTTACTTACAAAGAGCGTTACAGTCATGCAGTCTACTATGTGTTGCATATATTATATAACTGTACTAATGGGTAAATACAGCTTCCTGTATATTTGAAGTCTCATTGGAGAATGGCTATCGGGACTGTAATGATGAGTTCCTGCTCTTGAAAATTAACCACACTGTATGTAAAATAACCATATGTAAAATGCTTCAGCTGGGTTTCAATGCCTTTTGTAAACAAAACATTGTATCAACTTCAATTTACTATTAGAGTGAGAAAAAAAGAAAAGAAAGTGTGGTTAGCTTGTGCTCAAGCCTACAATTTTCTCTCTCTTTATCTACTGTGAAATGAGCTGATGAGCACTGAGTAGTTCTGAATAGTAATATACATGTAAATCAGTATCAGCTTCCTGACCCAAAAAGAACCCCAAACCTAACTGTCAGCATTATTATGTTTGTAGAAAATCACATTTTAAAAAATGTATGTGGGGATATATATATAGAGAGAGAGAGAGAAATTCAGAATGTTAGAATCACTGATACTGTTCACATAAAACTTTCAGTGGAAAGTAGAAGTCTGACCCACATCAGTTGGCCGGTTGAAATGAACAACCTGCATCATATTTCACTAGGGTTGTAATTTTATATGAACTTGGATGCAAGCCCCATTGTACTCAGTGGAACTAGTCATGATCAGGAAAGCAGTAGAAAGTAGCTTCCTGCTGTCCTCTGAAGCTTTATTTATTTAGGAAATCAAAGGAAAACATTTCAGTGCTAGCTTCAGTCTGTTCTAGAGCTTCAGAGTAGACTGAAACTAACTTTGAGGCTCTAGCAGGTCTGGAGCTTGAACTACTTGATAATGAGGCTGGACCAAACTCCAAAGTCTGGCACTTCAGCGGCTGGTTCCACCAATTTAATCATTTATTTGTTGCAATCCCCAGCATCCCCAGGTTGTGCTGGGAAAGACTGTTGCCTGAAGCCTTGGAGAGCCACTGCCAATCAATGTAGACAGTACTGAGCTAGATGGACCAATGGTCTGAGCCAGTATAAGGCAACTTCCCGTGGTCCCAAAAGAAATGGAAATAGTCTGATGAACTTATTTTGGAAGCTCAGCACCGTCTTAGAAAGCACGTCTAGTAGTCTAATACTCATGATTAGGGTGACCTCTATTTTTTCTAAAGGTTGGCTTATGTGCCTTCTGTGTTCTGGAGATACAACATAACATCAGAAATGCAAAAAGCAGCTAAGAAGGGCTACTGCTAGCGCCCAAACAATAGACATTTGGTTTCTAACTTATGTTTCTGCTGCAGAACTCTGTGTGTAGGAGTCTTCCAATTGTTACCATAAAAACAGTGTTGTCAAGAAACTGCCAGAGCAATCCAACACTTCTCTTCTGATGTTCAGTTTCCTTCTGCTTGTTAACCTTGTCAAGGAGGGCATGGAGGAGAGAGCACCATTCAAATGAAACCTACAGTAATTACTGTAATTCGAGGGGATATGTATTCACTGGAGGAAGGCAGTTCCACCCTCACAATCAACCTTTCTGCAACTCGAGGAAAACACAAACATGGCCCTTCTCAGACAAATTAGGCATGAACAAATGTTTCACATTAAATGAGTTGAAGGACCTTGCTGGAAATTACAAGGGCTGCTTAAGGAAGCAATGAATCCTATTAAGGCAAAATGGGGCTAAAAGAGAGGGGGGAGCTTTCTGCTGGGATTTTCATACATGTTGACAACCGTATGCATGGTACAGTGAAGCAGCCTCAGTTTCTCAGAGATGCCAAAATATGTAGCTGTATAAAGCCTGGAAAAGAGGTACAAGTTGACTAAGGCAAAACAAGTGTTTATTAAGGCACCATTAGTTATCCGAAGGAAAGTTTTGAGAGCATTCAGCTTAAGTCTCTGGACTTTTTTTCAATCTGCATAATACTTAGGACAAACACAGTGTCAGATTAATGTACAAAAAGGAGTTATGTATTGAATATAGCTGTGTACACATTCTACCAAGTTTAAGAAAGAGCATGGGATAAGGTAGCAGATGGTCAAATGAGCAGTTTCAGGTGCCTGTGAGTTTTATGTTGCATTACTGTCACACAGGAAGAAGAATCATATAATGGCAGAGCCTTCATATTTGGAAATGAAATAATCAGCTGCTACTCACTTCTGCCTCCATCATTAGGCAAAGCGCATCAATTCATTTGGTAGGTGCAGAACAGGCATAAAGAGAAGGTAGGTAGTCCTTATATAAACAGCTAGAGATTAATTTTAGGTTAATTTGATTTATTTACCCAGCACAACACCAAGGATGTATCATTACTTCTGCTCAGCACTTGAATATTGAAGTGATAAACCTGTGAAAGAGCCATGACAGATCAAATATCACAGCTGGTGGCTTTGTAGCATTTCCAACACAACATTATTTGATGGGGGAAGTTCAAGCAATTGAGCTACATATCAGGTGTTGAACATCAAATGATGAGCAGTCAAGTTGTGCACATGCATGTGGGAACTGTTTTTTTTAAAGGTGGGACATAGAAAGCACAACCTTTTGAAGCTGGGTGGCAGGAATTCCCATCTGCTTGTGCTGTGAAGCTCTACCTTGTCAGACTATACAGTCCAGTAGCCAAAATGAAAAATCCACCTGGCAGAAGATTTACCACTCCATTTAAAGCAAAGAAATAAAACTGTCTAATGTAGCAAAAAATGTAGTCAAATGTAGACTTTGTCAGCCATAGAGATTAACAAGGGTAAGAATTCACCTGTCAAAATGCTGTAAATAATCAAAGGAGAAAGTCTCCTTTGAACATCTTAACATTGAAGATGCTCAAGAAAAGCTGTTTTCTTCACAGGAGAAAGAAAATACCTTTTAAGATTCGCTCACTCAACTTGAAACAGCACATCTTTAATTCATATTACTTTACAAACATGTCATATTTGTACTCAGAGACTTGGGAGAGTTTCTTGCACTGGAAACGGCCTCTCAAAGCTCCAACATGGATGTGAGGCTGCTAAAATGTAATGATGGGGATAGCATGGAAACACAATAATACACACTCAGAATAGGCAGACAACAATAAGAAAGCTACCATATTATTATTGTTTGCATTTTGTCTATTTTTGCTCTGAACATGGGTTTCAGTTCTTTTATCCACAAGAAACCTCCATATAGCTCAAGGATGGGGCCTTATATTGAGCCAGACAATTGAAACATCAGTTTTGTCTACTGGGAATGGGAATCCTGTGGCCCTACAAATGTTGCTGGACTGACCCTCATCCCTGACCATAGGTCATGCTAGTTGGGGCTGATGGGAGCAGGACATTTCTTTTCAGCCAGAGCACATGGGAGCACATCTCCGGCACCTGTCAGATGGGCAGCACAGGAAGTCCCTGAGCTGAGCTTCCTGCCTCAACTCAAACAGAGAGTGAGAAGCGTGGCAGCAGAAGAAGGCTCTGCAAAACACAGGTTAGCCACCCATGCCCTTCAGGCAAAGATGTTTCCCATTCTCTTCCAAGTTACTACTCAACTTTCCAACTTCTTCTAGTAATTGATTCCTGCATCCTTGATCCAACAAATAAATTATTTACAGAATAGAAATTCAATGTCAAACAAATTTAGAACATGGCCAGATTTTAAAAATCAAAAAATAACAAAGAAAAAAATAACCCCAAGTTTTGTTGATAACATGTAAACCAATCACTTTATTATTACATCTTGCAAAATTCAACAATGTTATTTTTTTTACCGCAGGATTTGAGAACCTCTCTCCAGATACGCGGGTGGCGCTGTGGGTAAAACCGCAGTGCCTAGGACTTGCCGATTGTATGGTCGGCGGTTCGAATCCCCGCGGCGGGGTGAGCTCCCATCCTTCGGTCCCAGCTCCTGCCCACCTAGCAGTTCGAAAGCACTCCTAAGTGCAAGTAGATAAATAGGTACCGCTTTATAGAGGGAAGGTAAACAGCGTTTCCGTGTGCTGCGCTGGTGCTGGCTCGCCAGAGCAGCTTCGTCACGCTGGCCACGTGACCCGGAAGTGTCTCTGGACAGCGCTGGCCCCCGGCCTCTTAAGTGAGATGGGCGCACAACCCTAGAGTCGGACACGACTGGCCCGTATGGGCAGGGGTACCTTTACCTTTACCTTTACTCCAGATATTATTGGATTACATCTCCCATTGTAAGAATTAAAGAACCACTTGATGGATCAATCCTATCTAGTCCAGCATCCTATACTCACAGTGGCCAGCCACTGATTGATTGAGTGATCAAGGGCCATCAAATGAATATGTAGATTGGACCTCAAGTATGATGGCAATTAGGAGAAGGTGACCCCATCATGTGCTCACAGGTGATCCTGCTTCCTGCTAGCCTGTGAATCTCAAAGTGGGATATTTAATATTTACTTCAATATTTCTACAGGCCAAAATAGATGAGACATTTCAGATCTGCAATGGAATCTTCTACATTTTTCAGTTTCTGTAAAGATATGGTGAGGGGGATAATTTAGATTGGACTCACGGTGCTGGAGGACAAGTTTTTTGGGGGTGGGGGTGGGAGTGGGGGTTTAAAACAAAGAAAATCTACAACTATGGATAGTTTGCCCCGTTAAGGTACATATAGGTACATCTAAGTTTCTAGGCCCTAGATCAGGGGTTCTTAAACTGTGGTCCTCATACTTCCACTGGTCCATATGCTTTATTCAGGTGGCCATGGTGTGTCTATAAAAGTATAATTAAAAACCATACAGTATCTAGTACAGTGCATTACAATTGCCACAACAGGCAGGTAAATCTTTAAGCAGTCCACCAAGACTCTCAGCAATTTTCAAGCAGTCCATGGTGTGTGTGGAGTGGGGTGGGAGTCTGTGAAACATTGCTTTAGATGTAACAAAAAACCCCAACGTTTATTTCCTTTTCACAGTATATGGGTTTGACAACAAAGTTTACAGTACATATGAAGAAGGAAAGGATGGAGTTTACTTCGTTAAAAGACCTTTCTTTGACACTCCAGCCCAAACTACAGTACTTGGATGCAAGCCCCATTGATTCCAATGGTTCCTACTTCTTTTGCATAATGTGCTCAAGACTGGCTTGTGAGACTTCACACAATGACTGTACTTACTAATTTGAGTAGTCCCTGCTGCCTCCTTTTTGGATTTTAGTCCACAAAGTTTATTTTCCATGTCTGAAACTTTATAGGTTGGAATATGTTGGTGAAAGCGACATTAATTTGGACGAGCACGCTGAAGGTAGTTTGCAAAGTGGAAATTTAATTAACAGGGTGCCATAGTGCTGAGTTATTCATTGCCTCGTTTTACACACTGCACAAGAGAATCTGGCTACTCAGGAACATAGAGGTATTTGCTTGTCATGCTGAGTTTGGACTCGGAGAAGAAAAACTACAGTGTGATGCATTTCAGAAGAGACAGCAGCATGCAATATACCTATAACTTGCCCCAACCCTTTAAAGTCTGAACATGTAGCAAGGAGAAATCACTGCAATACCCTTTTCTGTAGAGAAAAGACAGCATTGCAGCACCATGAATGCTGTCTTTGTGCTCCCTCTCTGTCCTAGTCCTAATTAGTTGAGATAGGTGCACACGCATCATACTATCATATCGCTCATCCCCCTGGCACTTTATGACTTACTGAGAAAAAGAGAGCACGCAACTATGGTGCTGCACTGACACTGGAATGATGCAGAGAACTTCTCCCTGGTAGACAGAAAAGAGAGTGCAATGGTACTGCAATGGTAAAAGTAGTGTGTTGGTAGCTCAGTGGAGGAAGGAATCACAGACATAAGGGGGTGGTCAATCAGGTATCTGATCTGATCACATCTGCTTTGTGCTCTCTACATATTTAGAGGAGTGTTTTTATTCAAGTCATTTCAACAATGGACTTCCTGTAAATATACAAATAGGATTCTTACTCTCTCTGATGATGGTGTTTGATCTCATTCTAAGGAGATAAAAAGAGCAGGTTGTATTCTGCCAAATTATTCTATAAAAAAGTAAAGCTATCTTCAATATTAAAGCCAATGGACTGGAACCAGTGATGTTCTAGAATGAACAGAACACAGTTCTGCTTGTAAAAGTTGAATGTCTGATATAGTCCAGGTTCTTGGCACCTCTAATATATTATTAAATCTAAAATAAAATACATTTAAAACACATTGAACTACCTGCAGTTATGTTTTTGCTCTGTCCCATTAACTTGTAACAATGCCCCACTGGGTTTCCTAGCATCCCCTCACCATAACACCTCTGGCTATGAGGGAAGTTGATATCTATCTATCTATCATCTATCTATCTATATATATCTATCTATTTTGTATATCTCCCTTCATTTGTAGTTCTCAGGGCAGTTCACAACATAAAAATACAAGATAAAAACACAAAATACACAAGAAGAACAAACCAATAACCTCTCTCCCCCTCCCACTCCAGATCTGGATTTGAACATTCTAAATATTTGTCTCCCTGGACTTTTGACTGAGAACACCAACATTGCAGGGAAGTTCAGAGAAATGACATGTGATGGCAATTTCATTGGATTTGAGCTTGTGACTCAATGGTCAGAGGTGATGGACCTCTGAGTCACATATTCCATCTTACTTCCGAAGAAAGTAATTGAGAATCGTAAATAATTTGAATCTTAGATGAGACGCTATTTGCATTTCACCAGTAACTTTCAAGATGGCTCATGAACTTGGTCACTGCTGATCTCTGTCACATGAAAGCTTGCATAAGTGATCAGGTCAAAGTCATGGTCATCTTGCAAATATAACTTCACTAAGTGCAATGTTTTGCCAATGTGTGCTATGCGTCCTCTTTGCCCTCTATAATTTTATCCAAGTTTTTCTTGAACAAAAAATTAGAAAATTTATGTTTCTGTTATTAGTATTCTAGTGTCTGTTTATGCATCTATAGTTGTTAAGAGGCAAAGGAACTGCCCCTCTACATGCTCCAGATGAATATGGCTGGCCTGATATATGCATTAAGCCTTACTCAAGGTTTTCCTGGACATTTTTCCGATTCAGCAGAAATCTGCCCAGACGCCATTTTGACAGTCTGATTCCCAGACATGTCTGGGAAAACCTGGACATATGGCAGTCCTACTATAGGAAGCAGATTGCATGCTTTAGGTAGGATATGCTTTTCTTGACTGTTTTTCTGTATGTTTTTATATTGCTTTTGTTTCACTGTCCTCCATCCTGGGACTGCTTGAGATGAAGAGTGGTATATAAAATGCCACAAATAAACAAATACATGAATGGCCAGTGTTTGCTTTGTGATTTTTTCACACATACCTCCAAATGTTGTGGACTTATCACCAAAGGGATGGCTTCTAATTGCTAATGGAATTTTGAGGAAGCTGTCAGATTTCTAAAACCACTTCTCTCAAATCCCAGCAAGACGGAATATACAATATCCTATTTTTAGATTTTCGCCTTACTAACTGCTGGAAAGCCTATGGACCCTGTGGGACCCTTATCCTTGATAAGTAATATATGAAATTCAGTTACATGCACCTTGATGATGATAATGAATTACATTTACTACCAACCTTCACCCTACAGTCCCAGGTGGGGTTAAAAACATGTTTAATGTTAAAAACAACATTAAAAACAATTTAAAACTTACAATCACAAAATAGGATGGGTCCTAAAAAAATATGCAACTTAACTGTCAAATGCCATTACCAGACATCCCCATTTCCCAGGAATAGTCCCCGGATCTACAAATCAGTCCCCAAAGAAATCCACTGAAGCTGAAAAGTGTCCCCGGATTCATTGAAAAAAATCTGGTAACCTTATCAGGTAAAAAGGTGTGCCTTCAGTATTTGTCGAAAACTGTATAGTGAAGCTGTCAGATGCACCACTGCGGGAAGGGAGTTCCACAATTCACAGGCCACAACCTTCCACGCTTTTGAGGGTGGAAGAAATAACAAAATGGCTCCCTCTGGTGATCTTAACACCCAAGAGCACCTGTGGGGTAGGGAAGGAAGTGGTCTTTTGGATATTTGGGGCCTAAGTAATTTAAGGCTAATGCTAAGACTACCACGTATAATACTATATAATAATAACGGTGGGAGAAAAAAGGTACACTACTTCTCCACTGAAGACTCTATTTTTTTTTTAAAAATAATCTTTATTGCTTTTAAAACTTACAAGAAAAGAAGAAAGAAAATACAATACAATACAATAAACAATACAAAACACAACCTTAACACACTAAACTAAACAAAGCAAAAGAACAACAATTTAAAAACATATATCATACCATTTCATTACTCTATCTTTCATTCCCTTATTTCATCGACCTCCTCTCACCTCCCTTTTTGTATTCCACTTCTATTACTTGTTTCAGCAATTCCTTTCCATCTTTCTCTATTTTTATCATTATGAATATCTTAACATATTTTGTACCTTATTTTCCATTAATACTGAAATACTTATTTATACCTAACTCCTTATAACATTTCTGCTAAAGCCATAAAATTTCATTCCAACAATTTTCTAACACTCATTAAATTTACAATATTTCTATATATAAACTTTAAACTTTCCCAATCTTCTACCACCATCTCTTCTCCCTGGTCTCGGATTCTGCCAGTCATTTCCGTCCATTCCATATAGTTCATCAACCTGGAGATCTTCTGTCCGAGGCTCTTAAATCTTTTCCAAGTCCCTTCTGCAGTTTTTCTTCATATTCTTTGATGCTGAGGGTGCTGAAACGCAGGTCTTGGGGGGGCCCTGACCCAACCATGCCCCCATTCCCTCTCGACAGACCAACCAACTCTCCACAGCTAAAACCAGTGTCCATACAATATCTCAAATCATGTTTCAAGGCTCCCCCAGATCCAAAGGCCCCCACAACTCCAATCACCTCCTGACCCAGATTCAAGACCCAAAGGTCAGTAAATCTCTGCATGAAAGAGTCTATCCAACCTTCCTTCTTCAATCCAAACAGGGCTCCAATCTTCAAATTCTGACTTTCTATATTCATTCATAAAAGGCCTCCACTTATAGTCCTCAGTTTGCCTCTGTAAAACTGGGGCTTCCACTTGTATTATTTTAGGTTTAACAACACCAACATTCTCCTTCGTCTTCTCCCCAGTTTGTCCTGTCAAAGTAGGTTCCTGTGTCAAATCCTGAACAATTTCTGTATTAATGGTCACTTTTTGTTCCAAATTAGTCACTTTTTGTCCCAAGTTCTCAAGTTTAGTATTCATAGCGTCCGTCTTCTTGTGGAGCTGTTCCAACGAATAGCTTATCTTACATAATACAGTCACTAAGGCTCCTTCTGTCAACATTCTTAAAGTCCAAGGTCGATCTCTATTTCACACAGTTCTTATCTTGCAACTGGAAAAACCCCAGCTCCACTCTTGTAACTGTTTCAAAAGCTCCCTCTAGAGGGAAACAGTCTCCACTTGTATCAATCCTTTCAAACACAGTTTAAACTATAAAGATAGTTTCTTTTCCTACTTTTTAAACGCAGATGAGTACAATGGAAACAATATATTTCTCTTATTGCTAGCTGTCAAAAAACGTCACTCTTTCTGGCAGCCCGTTTCCAGGTTCGGAGCAGTGGTAATTTGGTTTTTCACTCTCTCCTGCAGGCTCACTAGGTCCAAAATTTCCCCCCTCTTCTCCTGCTTCCAAGGGGGGTTTAATAGTTTTAACCGATGGAGATTTAATCCTTTACAAAAATAAACTTTCCAAGGCTTTAACTTGCAACTTCTTTGCTTCAATCTGTTTACAAAAAAGGAAGGCGGACTTCCTGTTTAGAACCTTCCCGTTTCGATGCCAAATTAATGAATTTAAGGATCTAATTTTCCGTTCTACTCACGGGTAGTTGTTTAAAATCCAATTGTCCACAGGAAAAAGTCAGCGCTCTCCGGCAACAGCGATGCGGCTTCACTCCGTGAAAGAAGCAGTCAATTCGAAGCACCGCACCACCCACCCCACTTCGCTCCGGATCCCCAAATCAGGGTTTCCCCGTGAGTAGGGGAGGCGCAAAGGGTGCCAGCCGAATCCCAAGTTCACAGGCTTCTCCCGCCTGTGATTTTCCACTGAAGACTCTAAATGAGAAAATGCTAATTAAATGCCATAGATTTCTTTTCCTCTCCACCTTTTTGGGTAAATGCAATTTTCAATGGTCTTTCCAATGCTTGTCCCCTACCAGAGAGGCTGCTCTCAATATGTTGTTTCCTTTCATGTTATGAACCTTAATTGTTATCATACCATCAAGGTTATCTAAAAGCAAAGCAATGGGTTATTTAGATAATTTAGACCCTATTACTTCCTCACAGTTCCATCAGATATGTCTAAAATTAGCTCAATCCTCCTCCTATTTCCCACATAATGCCATAGAACATGGGTACATTTTTGCTTCTTTTGAAGAATCTAAGAGTCTAATAAGAGAATCTGATAGATTTTTTTCAGCACAATATCAATTGAATAACTATGCCCATCTCATAACTTTCCAGTGCTGATCATTTTTCTCATCTGTTTTGAATTTCAGTTTTAACACATCATTTAATAATTGATATATTATTAACAAACCCTCTTTTAAATTGAGAATAAATTAGTGTATTGCTTAAAATTTGCTCAACCCTTTTATATATCCTGCTAAGGCAACTATTATTTTACATATATTTATAAGTAGGAAAAGCAGTTTGTTGTTGTACCAAATCAATATAACTGAAAATTGTTCTTCTCTTTTAAAAAACAAATTATCCTTCTAGAGATGATCGATTATATTTGGAATTCTGTAGTGGTGGATATTGAGTCACTAGGTAAAGACTCGTGCTCTACGTAAAGATCTTGTGAAGAGTCAAGAGTGCATGTTGACCGAAGGGTTCAATTAATTCTGGCCTAGAGAACTTCCTAATTCTAGCGTCTTATCCATCCCGCATAAAATCTGTGGCTTATGAGCCATGGTAGCTGGTACCCATTGGTAGGGTGATTGGCAGGGAGGTCCACAGTTGGCAAACCCAAAGCTAATCACAGGCAGAGTCATCTAATTCTAGCTTTGTCTCCATCCTCATCCCTTCAGAATTCTACAATATTGAGACTAAGGAGAGACACTAACAACCTCCTGAGGTTGGTGAGGCACTGCCACATTCTCCCTAATGGATCAGCCACCACTGCTTATGAGGAACATTCCTCAAAGAAAAGTATATTTTCCCGACCATCCTTCTCCACAAATTGTGCTTTTAGAAGCACTAATGATACTTACAGTCCAGTTCTGGTGGTTTGCATGCCTTTTTTGTGGTTACATGACACAGTCATTCTTTCTTGCCTTGTTGGGATGTCTCTGAGCAAATGGGCACAACTGCCCTGTAACGTGAAGTTTCTTCTTTCAAGGTATATCATTTGTTTAAGCAAAGCTCTGCTTATTTGAAATAGCCATCTGCCACCAGAATTGGCTTTTCCTCTTTGGAAACCTTGAAGAGCTTGACCCTCATTCTAAATATCCATTCATGCTTCTCAATCATTGGATTGATTAAATTTCGGATAGCAGCATTACATATGAATACATCAAAATCTTCACACTCTTTTTGCAAAATTGTAGGTGTATGTCAGAGTGGCATGGCAGTCACCTGCTTGAGTTCCCTGCCCAACAAAGGGAATAAGGTGACGTGTAAAAAGTAAGGAACCATATGCAGCTTCATCTATTTTCCTGCTCAGATTCAGAAGCTTCATTCTAACGTGCAATGTGTATTCTCAAGCAGCTCCAGTATATATTCATGATGGTTTTACTTATAAAAAATGATAGTTTAACATAAAGCTGCAGAAGGATCATTATGGCACAAAGCTCCAGCAAAAATACAGAGAACATTTAAAACCCTGCTCATTTGGAGGGTCTTTCTGCAAGGGGTACTTTTAATTGTGCATTGCCCCTTCTCCCTACTTTCACTTTCCTCATTGATCCATTCTGTAATGCAAATCAATGGCATCTATTTAGGGTGGATTTAGCAGAATTAGCCTTAACAGCCACTTTATTTATATACAATTAGTTTAAATGGAGAAGAAAATTAGGTAGGTTTAATACGGGAATATTTTCCAGTCTATT